GGTTACCTGGGGGGTAAAGTAGCCACTGCAGGGGCTTTTAACAAAATACCTCGGAAGTCTCCAGTGTGGTGATCTGGGCAGTCCGCAGAATCATTTCTTAGTGATTTCCCTAGAAATAATCTTCAGCAGTGGTCTTGCAGGTGGCCACAGAGGACAGGCCCCTCCCCTCTTTTGCCTTTGGACCACAGGTGAGCTAGACCGGGGCACAGGCAGGCCGGGGGTTCACCTCCCACTGCTCAGCAAGTCCCTGACTTCTCATCTTTGAAGTTGTCTTCTGTGACAGGAGCTGTTCATCAGACTCCCAAGAGTAATCGATCCCCTCCTGTCACTTGGGAGCGCTCTCTGTTGGTTTTTTCCCACTCCATCATCATCTCCCAATTATCACCTACAAGCCAGGTGTCAGTGCAGAGAAAGATTCTGTGCCAGAGGGTCCCTCCTCTTTGTGGATAGAGCATCTGCCCACCAGCCACTGCAGCCTCGTGGGTGACCTTGAGCCCGGCTGCCTTTGTCACCTCCCAAGGCACCACAGCCAGGCAGCAGTGCCCACTGAGACCCTCCCCATGGGGGGAGCTGCCCCAAAGGCACAGGGTGGCATGTGGGCTCCACGGCCACACTCTGGGCCTGGGGGCGGTTTGTGAGAAGCAGAAGAAACTGGCCTGAGTCACGGAGCTTGGTGAGAGGTCAGAGGCACAGCTGCCCTTCTGAAGCACCTCCTGTGCACCCCACAGACAGGAGTGTTTCCATGTCTGATTTAATCTTCCCTCAGGCCCTCCAAGGTAGCTGGAAATGGTCATCCTCATTCTGCCAATGGGGACGTCAGAGGGTAGCAAATCAGTGACGTTCCTGAGGCTACACGTCATTCAGGGTGCGGAACGCAGGAGTGAGCATGATTCCATGGGACTGTTCTCTGGGTGTCCCCCTGGGTGTTTTGGGGTCTGCTGTAGGGCCAGACAGGTGCCCCAGAGCAGAGAGCTACAGTGGCGGTGGCACCAAAGGAATGTGCTGTCCAGGAGGCGACAGTAGCACCGAGGTCCGAGGAGTGGACGGTTGGGTTTCCCAGGCACAGGAGGAGGTGGGAAGGAAGCAGTGGAGTGGGAGAGGCCGTATTCGCCTGTATTCACCAAGGCCCCGAGGGAAAAAGGACAAGTCACAAGAGAAGGAAACTGGCTCCTCAGGAGGACAGACGTCTTGGCCAGCCCTGAGGCTCCCACGTGTACCCAGGCCTGGTGTGGCATGCTCCCTCCTCTCAGGACCTGCAACTGATAAAATACCTACTCAGTCACTGCTCAGATATTCCATCTGGGTACAAGCAAAACATGGGCCACCTTCAGGGGACTGGGGGACAGATCCCGTTCATAGTAGACAGGGGATAGTTTGCACACCCATTTTTGCTTCTTCCGGTAGAAATAGCAACCATTTTTCGTGTGGGGTACCTTACCTTTCCTAAACTTGGTCTATCTTTTCAATGAGCAGCTAGCCCCAAAACTGCATTTTTTGCTGCTGAAATCAAGCAGAGTCTTCAGGGATAGGCAGCCCTGCCCAGCCGAGAGAGGTTCACCTGCTGGGTCTGTTCTGTGTTGCTGCAGTAACAAATTCCCTCCAACATAGTTGCTAAAAACAAAACAAATTTATTATTGTATGGCTCTTAGAGGTCAGAAGCCTAACATCAGTGTCAGTAACACTTGTGCCTTTCTGGAGACAGGGGAAGAATGCGTTTCAGGCTTCCAGAGGCCACCTGGACCCTTCACCTCCCAAGCCCTTGCTCTGCAGACTTCTCTGTGACCTTGACCTTCCTGCCTCTTTCTTGGAAAGCCCTTTCAATGACATTGGGCCCACTAGATCATCCAAGATTGTCTTCCCAGGTTCTTAGCTGATCACACTGCAGGGTCCCCTTTCCCATGGAAGGTGACACAGTCACAGGTTTCAGGGATTAGGATGTGGCCGCCTCTGGGGACCATTATTCCGCCCACCCACCCTTACTTATCAAACCGAGGCCCCGTGGCTACCTGCTGATAGAGCCACAAGATTTTGGAGCCTGAGCTGCGTGTTGTCACTGCTCCACCACAGCCCGGCCCCCACATGGGAATGGCCGCTGAGTAAAACGCCACCTCTCTTCTGCCCACGGAGCTGGGGGAGGAAAAGCACCACGCAGCGGGCGGCGGGCGGCGGGCGGCGGGCGGCGGGCGGTGGCCAGCTCTGCCATGACTCACCGAGGAAGTGGGGCGATGCATTTAGCTCTGTCTTGCCTGCTTTCTTCAAAGAAGATTAACCTTTTTTCCAGAGGTATTTGAGGATTGAGCATTGACAGAAAATAACCATGATACTCTTCAGAGGAAAAAGCCCTGAAGAAGTACGATGACCACATCTTTACCTTTGTCTAATTGCACTGACTGTAACCCCACATCAGTCCTATTTTTGAGCAAGCATTCTCTGGCCACGTCCAGTAGCCATGCCGTGGCACCAGGCTTGTCAAACTACCACTGCCACCCCTGGAGGAAAACAGTGTCCTTTTTTTACTGATGTAGAAACTGAGGCACAGAGAAGGAGGTGAAGGTTGCTAGAGTCAGCAGCGGGAAGTGTCACAAGTAGGGTCTGAACAGCTAGCTCAGGGCCTGCGGCCATCTCCTACCTGGCCCTTTGCAGGAATTGCTGTGTAGCTCACAGTCAGGCTCACAGTCAGGCTCACAGAGTAGAATCTGAATCTTAAATGGCAGGAACTAAAACACTGGAACATTCCAGTTCCCTCCAGAAAAGGAGAGGAGCCCTGCTGAGTCCCAGGGCTCAGCCTCTGTGCCCCCATCTGAAATAACATCCCTGATTTCCATGTCAGGGCCCTGCTAAACATCCAGCCTTCTGAGAAGCCCACCTTGCCCTCAGCCCCACCTCATTTGGGGTGTGGCACAAAGCAGGCCTTGATGGATTCCTTCGGATTCCTCCTCCTCTTCTCCCCCCTCCTGTTGTCACCAACACCCTTTCCCAGCGCCCGTGTGTGACCAGGTTTCCGTCTGTGTGAGCCGTGGAGTCCTATTTCTGTCCATTTTTGTGATCTTTAGAGTTTGATGTTGTCTGTGCATAAGGACATATATACTACATATTTTTTTCTTCATGGAGATGAGGGGTTGGAAAATAGAGGAGGAAGGTGAGAGGTGGCATGAAAGCTGCGCAGCTGAAGAGACTGAGGCCGCAGGGGCCTATGTAAAGGAAGGCACAGCGCAGTCGGGCACTGGCTGCCTGCAGGAGACAGGAGCTGGGAGACCAGAGGCCTCCAGGGCCCATCACTCTTCAGTGTTACTCCCCTAAGCATCAGTAAGCTGACATCCCAGGAGGAAGAGAAGTGCAGGGGCTCTGAGAGGAGCAAGGGTGAGGAATACGCCAGACAGACCCACTGGGGCTCAGGGTTCCTCCCACCTGTTTGGCATATCTGGGAAAGCTGCTGGGGGAGGGGAGGAACCCAGGGCGGGCCAGGTACATGGGGTGATGTCCCCATCACAAGATCCTCAATCTAATTATACTCACAGAGTCCCTTTTGCCAGGTAACATATTCACAGGTTTCAGGGATTTAGGACATAGATGGCATTGGGAATTGGGCCAGCCACAGAGGGAAGGTTGGACACACTGTACTTTCCTCTCTATCCAAATCAGTGGTCTTCTGCCTGGAATCCAGGACTCCCAGGGACCCAGGGCCTACTCATCTGGGGCATGTGTAAAGCGTGGGGAGGTGAACCTCCCTATGTCTCTTGGGGAAGTAAACGATTCTCTTATGGCTCCAGAGAAGACAATGCCAGGTGGATAGGGTGGGCCTGGAGCAAAGGCCCTCTAAACTGATTCTTACAGAAGTTGGAAGCCAGTTGGCAGGCCCTCGTGTTACATGTCTGGGACACATGTGGTACCTTTTTAACATAGAGAGTGGCCTCCCTCTTCCTGGAAAGATCCCCAGAACCTGGCTGGACATACGTGCTCTGCCTGGCAGGTGTGCAGGATGGCACTGTGCACCAGCCCCTCCCCTGCCCTCCTCCTGTCAGCCTCAGGGTCATCAAGAACACCGATGTGTACTAAATTGGGCCACATTGTACTTGGCCACCAGGTGCCAACATCAAGAGAGGACATCAGTTCCTACAGTGGACATTGGAACTTGGGCCACCTTGCGCAGAGTGGTGGCCACGCTCTGTGCCCATGCTCTTGAGTTGGTTCACGGCCACTGCAGCCGCAGAGTCAGGTGGTTCCTTTCATCAGGAAGGGCTGAGACTCCCCCAGGGTCCTCTTGGAGACACGGTTATATCAATAGGAGGAGTTAAGGATGAGTTGTATTTATTTAGGGTGGCTTTTAATTTAGTTTAATCAGAATTACTCATAAATTATCGATTAATTACCTTCTGCCGTCCTGTTAAGTCCGCTCAGCCGTGAAGCCAGCATCACTGTGCAGTGAAAGCCACCCGCCGTCGTCGGAGGGCACTTTGTCAACATTTAATCAGCGGTACTTATTAACGTGGCATTGATGTGTGGCAGCCGTCCCCGTGCTATCCATCACGCAGGAGCAGGCAGCGCGGACTCGGACACCATCGCTCTTTGTCACTTTAGCCAGCCCCTGGGCTTTTAGGGCAAGCTCAGTGCTCACTCTCCCCTAAATGGGCACTCCGTCTCTCCAGTTCAGCCTAATTCCTGTCAGTGTTGCCTTGAACACCTGCCACCTTTTAAACTTAGTCTGGAACAGCCGGGCCACGCACTACAGTTTCTCCCAGTGGGGTTGAGGCCCCAGGAAGCTTGTCTGGGATCGGACATCATGGCCTGGTGTACGTGTGTGTGTGTGTGCAAAAGAGAATTTTATATCCTGAATACGCTGTATGACACAGAGAAAGTGGGAGTGATCTTTTGGCTTTCTCTGTATTTTTCTGAACATTAATCTGTTGCTGAAGGCTCCATCAATTGAAGAGTATTTTGTATTAATAGTAAAACAGATCTCATGGATTCCTTTCTCTCTTTCTCTCCCTCTCTCTTTTCAGCCTCTATGGCAGACACATGCAGGCAAACCCAGAACCTCCGAAGAAGAATAATGACAAATCCAAAAAGATCAGCCGGAAACCCCTGACAGCCAAGAACAGATAAGAAGTTGCCATCAGTTGGACTTCCCTCCTCTCACCAGCCCTATCCTCTCTCATGCAGCCGTGTGACCTTTGTTTTTTCCTTTTCACTTCTGTCTCTCTAGTACTTTCCACCTTGCCTTTTGATCCCTTTGGTAGGTGGTAGATTGTTGTAAGGCCTTAATACCTTTTCCATTTGTTTCTTTAAAATTGCCAAAGGCAGGGAACAAAGCTCTTATTCAACTGCAAATTCCATAGTAGGCACAGATTTCAGCTTCTTGAATAGACATCAGGAGGGTGCTTATTGTCAAAAGAATAATTAAAATCATGTAACCATTTAAATGTCACAGTTAACACTTTTCACTCTTATTCACGCAACTCCTTATTTTGCTTTATTAAAAGACTTCCTGCACCACCGAAATATTATGTTAATTTAACTTACAAAGGATTGTAATAAAATCTGGAATTCGTATCCCACATTGCATCTTGACTGCAATCCGGAACAGTCCGATCTTGGGGTGCACACATTCTTGTTTACTTTTCTCCCCCAATTTCTGTAGCCAGTTTTATCGGTTATAAATGATAAACTCCCAGAGAAACTTTTCTTGAAAGAAATGCAAAATTAAATCAGAGTTCGTTTCTTCTCACATTAATTTGTCAGGTTTTTTTTTTTTCTTTGAAGACTTTCTAAATTAGGAAGGAGGGAGAAAAACACATCTCTAGGAGATTCTGCCAAAGGATTTTGGAAAATAGCATTCCTTCGCCAAAGAAATGGTGACTTCTGCCAGGGGCTGGTAGACAAGAGCTGTGAAATGCAGAGAGAGGGAAAAAAAAATAAAAACGAAGTATGTTTTTTGTCACTGCAGAAAATCTGCTCCTATCAAAGCATTCTCCTGAGCTCCTGACGGTAATGCCAAAGAAGTTGTGTAAATGGGCACACAGCACACCACACCTAGTGTGGAAGCCGAGGTGGCAGAGTCATTAAACAACCAATTGTTTAACATCTGTGATAGCAGCTTCCCTTCTTCCCCGCAGTGATATGTATGGAAATGAAAATAAATCCAAGCTGAGCTTTTGTGCTTCCCTAGAGGCCTGCCAACACCAGGATGCTGCCCCCACAAAAGGTGTGTGAAGATGCTGCCTGCTCCCAACGGGATTGTGGAGGGAAGGCCCACCCTCACCTCGGCTTCCTCCCCTTCCAGATCCTCAGTTAGTTCCCAAAACCAGGACAGCGGGGATGTGTTTAAAGCTAAAATCAAAACAAAAAGTCCCCAGTGAATTAGAGAATGGGCATTTCTTTTGAATCTAAGGGACCACAGAGCAAGGTCTAAACATCCTCCTCTGGACAACAATAAGAAGAGGCGTTCCCAGCTGCCCTCCTCCCTTGTTTGGGGGTTCAGCTGTTGTAATTTTTAGAGGTGCAATTTATAAATTCTCAACCTGAATTTCTCGAATTGATTTTTTTTTTTTTTTTTTTTTAGTTGATGAAATTGTAAGAGGAAGAGCAATGTCTCTGCTGTCGTTGACTAGGAAGACTTTTCAACTAGCAGCAAAGCTTTAGTAAAAATATAACAACGCTAAGGGCCCTGACGAGTAAGTGTTTTCAAAAGGTGAAAACTGGAGGTAGAAATCATGGGCAGTACACACACGTTCACGGGGCGGGGGGGACACGAAGGAGTCGAAGTCTCACTAGTAATCCAAAAAATATAAATCAAAGCAAAACTAAGCTGGGAGTAGCAATGAGAAATGTTTTAAGATATTTTTTAAGGCAGTATTGAAGTACAGGAAGAGTACCATGAGATAAACCTCCTTAGACACTGCTGTAGGGAGTATAAATTTCTCTCTAGAAAGGTGGGAGCAGTTTGGCAGTATGTGTAGCAAAACCTTCAAATTGTGTGCTGGGACCCAGAAGTTTTCTTTCTAGGAATTGATCCTAAAGGAATTACCAGAGATGCTGTGATAACACACCTACAGCTCTGTTTGAGAATTGTCTGTACAGCCTCCTCTACAGAACATGCAGAGAAAAGCCAGATCCCACCCATGGAAGAAAAATTCAGCGAATTGTGGCGTGATCACATGACAGACGTTGAAAATGGAACATAACCAGTTAAGTAGGAAAAGGGAAGGTTTAAAAATCTTAACATACAGGGACAATGGTCCCCACTGTGTAAAAAGGAAATTGTGTTTGTAATATGGATGTGTAAAAGATTCAGTGAAAATGAAACACAGTTTTAATGCGGATAAATTTTATCTCTGCGTGGTGGACTAATGACGCTTTTCGTCATTTCCTTTTTTATACTTATTCCTTTAAATTTTTTATAATGAGCATGTGTACTTTTGTTATGAGAATGCATTAAATACATATTTTTTCAGAATGACATTGGTATATATTATGGTATATGCTGCAATCCAGAAAATACATATGTTGAAATTCAAAGCATAATAGAAAACATCAGGGTGGTTGTCTTTTTTTGTTTTCTTTTCTTACCAAAGTGGGTTTCACAGTGGCGCCTATGGCTCAAAGGAGTAGGGTGCCAACCCCATATGCCGGAGGTGGCGGGTTCAAACCCAGCCCTGGCCAAAAAAAAAAGAACTCCAAGCTGGGTTTCACATCTTTTTATATACTGGTTTTGGTTACTTGATAATCTGGATGAACAAAATATTCAGAGTTCAAAAGGTGGCCATTTCACGAAGATAATATGACCTTTTGAGCACAGGAGTTCATTTGTCACCAATGATGCTTTTCAGTCTAATCAAATCAAGGCACAATAAATACCTAAATTTATTACTTACATGAATTGGATTGTATGAAACTCAAGGAAGAGGGAAAGAAAAAAATTTTAGACACTCTCATAGGGTTTTCTGCTTTGTAATTGGAGTCTACTTCATCAAGGCCAAGTTTCCTTAAAGGAAGAAAACATTTATAAATATTATTACAGGTGAGAGTTTATTAAACCCTATAAAAGTTCAGCTGTTTACCTGAATTTTTGGTTTTCTCGTAATGGCCCAATTGTTGCATACTTGGTTATTTAAAGCAGTAATTTCAACCATTATGCCATAAGAGGATTTTAGGTGTGAAAATTTTTAAAGATCATTAATTAAATTATTTTCAAAAGAAGCTCAAAGCGAAGTACATATTTTTTTTGTTTTACTTTTTTTTTTTTTTGATCAACATGATTTAAGGGTGCCATGGAAGTTTAACAATAGCTTTAGGTGTGCTGGAAGATAAAAAAAGGTTGAAAAACATTGATTTAAAGCCTTCTGCAAACAACAATCAGTTTATTCTGTGACAGCTGGTACCGGAAGGGCCCTGCATCCCAGTTCTTGTGCTCGGAGTCCTGAGGAAGAGTCTGTCAAAAGCAAAATCCAAAGTGCCCTTAAAAATGTGAGTCCATTTCAGAAGAACCTGTGGATACCCCTACCCCCCAAAACACACTTCTGTGGGAGATAATGTTGAAAGCCAGCAGAACTGGCAAGTAAACTAAAAATCTCTGTTCTAACCTAGACATTTTATAACCTAAAATTAGACAGTAATTACTCATGGGTCTACCTCTCCATCTATAAGATCATCCACATATACCATATCCCGAAGGTGCTCAAAAAATGTATAGACATTTTAAAGAAAGGGAAAACCTGCTAAAATTGTAATCTTGGAATATATACTGATAACGTTTGTTATCTTATATCTCGTGTCTCTTGTAATTGCAAAAGTCAACTGTGACTTGACTATTGCGATTTTCACGGTATAGACACATCTACACAATTGTGTGTGTACATACGTAAGAGGTGATCTTCCCATCAATAACAGTTTCAGAAGCGTTCTTCAGAAATGTAATGTTTCTAGTTAGACTATGTATACATACTTTGTGATATTGCCTCTCACATTTATCTTATTTTATACATCATAGAATTTGGTAATTTGCCATCGCTAAATTTTCCTCTTGATCTCTTTTCCGTTACTACTAACAGTAATCATTGTTCAAGGGCTGTCTATGTATCAAAACCCTTTGCGTTTTCTTCTCTCTCGGTGGCACCCTCATTTGGCAGGAAATTTGGCCTCGGGAAGATTGAAGGGTCTTCCTCAAGGGCCCACAGCTGGCAGGTGGCAGAGGAAGGATGAAGAGAAGGTTCCTTTAACTTCGGAGCAAATGTCCTTTCCTCCACCCCACCCCACACTCTGCTGCCAATCCAGACTCCCTGGGTCTGTCCAACAGCAGTTTTCCTTCCCATCATCCCTTAAGTTTCTGCTTTTGAGCTCCTGAAATGTTCATTTTATTAACACATTCAAATCAGTGCGTGATGACAGACAGGGAAGCGTTACCCTATTTCTCTAAATGGCAGAACTTTGGTGTCTACGGCCTCTGTTCCCCCATGTGGTCAGGCAACACAGCATCTCTTTGATGAGCAAGGGAAGTGTTGACCAAAACAGGGAAGCCTGGCTCCTGAGAATAACTTCACCTTCTTTTCCCATCTCGTCCAGAAATGCACTTCCAACACGATCCCATTAAGGAAATATTTTACACCAAAGGGGATTCTCCCATATGACCTACCAAAGAGCATTGCCTCTTAAAATAGGCAGAAAAATGGCTTTTAGTTTCATTTTCAAGCACTTTTAGACCCACGTCATCAGACCCCCCGGGGATTTTGTTTTTAGTGGTTGAACCAGAGGCTGAAGAAGGACCCCCATCTTGTCTGTCCTGGTCTCCCCACACCCAGGGGGGTGTGTGCCTGAAATATGTTAGACTTTGAAATCCTGCTGCGTGCATGAATGCTTTCTGCCCTGGATGTTTCTGGGGTTGCCATTCTCCTGTAGCATTTAGACTCTCTTTATACATGGACAATGATCTCTTAGAATGTTTAGAGGCTTCGTAAAGGGTTGGGTAATACTGCTACTAAATTTGCACATCCAGGAATTGGGAGTGAATTAAGGAATCTGGGCTGGATGAGAATGTGGTGTAATCAGGAGAGACTTCGGGTTAGGGTTGCTCATCTCCGACTATACAGGGAATGTCCCAGCCCGTCACGTGAGAAGTAAGCCTTCTGTTACAGACCTGGAGTCTGGATTGTGCCCTATCCCCACCAGCCACTCCTGAAGGCATCACAGCCACCCCATTCACAGGGCCAACTTTATCTTCTTGGCACACCCGCTGCCCACCACACCCTGACATGGGTTTTTCCTGTGTACAGGTGCCCTCAGCAAATCTGCCTCCTTCCTGCCCTGGGAGGAAAGTGCTTCCACTGCCTGCCAGCTGGAAGCAGGGGCAGAATCACAGTCCATTCATAACTCCCCCACAGCACCACCACAAAGGGGGACAGCCTTGCTGTTTGTTGGGGGGGGGCTCCATATTTGTCATTGTGCAATCAGGATTTGAGCAAAGAACCACCTTTTAAATCACCATACACAAGGCAGCAGTGAGAATCATATTTTCATCAGGAAGGCCCAGCCTAGAGGGTAGCTCTTAGACTGGAGATCGTCTCAGCACACGGCAGCTCTGGTATAAGGTGGAGCTTTGGTGGTGGTGGTGATGGTTAGAATCAGTACCTGAAAGGGTTTGAGTGAGAGGCAATAAAGATAGAGCTTGACCTAAAGGTAGCTGTGGAAACTGCATCTGAATGGTACACAAATGAAGAAATTTGGGTCCTGCCT